ACAGGGTCCTACAATTAGTCACTAGAGGGGAAAGTAAGTTGGCCCTAAACCCTCATACACCAACATCAAGAGGCCCTATTCCTAGAAACGCGCAGTACTCTAGGATGGTATATGATTCTCTTAAACCCACTAGGGGGAATACAAGATATCCCAAATTGGCAACTCGCACTGTTGGCAATTCTATAGACTCGTGTATCAGTTTCGGAACTCGTGTGCTTCTAAATCTAAGACATTAGGGCTTCTAGGTGTCGCAGCGAAGATTTTGCTAGAACAGCGTAGAAGGGTTTAGGGTTTAGGTTATAAGGCATTGCCTTGAGGGTTTAGGGCTTGGGCATGCGTTCAGCATTGTGCACGTTGAAGACGAGTGAACACAGTGGCACATCAACCTGCGAACTCCGGCATGACAGGACTTAGATTCCTAATCTCCGAAGGCCTAGAATTCTTATGTCGAACAGGCACGCATAAACACGATCCTGCTGGCTGTGATGTGAGTCAGGCTTCTCGTATTCCTGCTGCAGGTTCACGAAAGGAGAGTTGACGTGATGTTGAAAGCCCTCGGCGCTGGCATCATGGAGGCTGGGATGCGAAAGTCTTAGCAGACTACAACAAATTTCTAACAAATGTCTCGGAAAGGCCCTAAACCCGAACGACCTCTGTTCCCAAAGACCCTGAATCCTACAGACCCTCAACCCCCACGCCTCATCCCCAGGACCTCTCTCAATCCGAAAGACCCTTAACCCTCAAAGACACTAAAGACCCCAAAGCCCTACTTGAAGGTTCGTGGGTACTTGTAAGTAGGGTTAGAATTGCCCTAATTGAGGTTCTAAAATTCTAAATATATCCCTGAACACTAGGACCACCTGAAGTTGTCTGATTTGAGGTTCGAGTTGTCTGATTTAGGGCTCAATTGGAACGGGCATTTTGGTGGTTTGGCTTTATGGGGTGAGAACATCTAAGGGGACAAGTTGGTAATGATTTAGGCCCCGACTCATCGCAGTGGGTCTGCGATTAGCAACATTTGTTCCTGCGCAGTGTTGACGTGCTGCTTCAGTGTGGATGCGACGCACCCGAATGCTGCTGAAGAAGAAGAATCATTTAGGTCCGATAAAGTCTGACATTCGTGAGCCACCTCAAAGCGTGCGAGGCCTAAACCCTAAACCCGCAACCAAGAAGCCTGCGAGCTGAAACACCGAAAGCCCCAAAGCCTTGGAACAGGAAATGGTCAGCCTACACCCTGGCAAAAAGCAAGGTGGGCAGAAAGGCCTGATTAATCCAAAAAAGGATGGGATATATATATATATATATATATACTTTTAAAATAGGAGGTTCCAACACCTCAAAGCCAGAAGAGATGATGGCCACAGGCCTTCTTCCTGATGCCCTAAACCCCTAAACCCGGAACGCAACCACCTCAACCCTAAACCCTAAACCCTAAACCCTAAACCCTAAACCCTAAACCCTAAACCCTAATTAATAATTAACCCTAAACCCTAAACCCCCAAACCCTAACGACCCCCCGCCCCCACAAGAAGTGCTGGGACCCCGCGCAGGGTGAGACATGACCGATGGCCCGAGGGCCACGCCGAAATGCGTGAACGAGCCCCTCCTCGGGCTGAAGGGTTTAGGGTTTAGGGTTTAGGGTTTAGGGTTTAGGGTTTAGGGTTTAGGGTTTAGGGTTTAGGGTTTAGGGGTTAGGGTTTAAGGTTTAGGGTTTAGGGTCTAGGGTTTAGGGTTTAGGCAGGGCTTGAGGATGCAAAACCTAGATCCCTTTGGGCCTTTTGGGGATCTTTCTGGAAGTCTTCTGGGGCACCCTCCCCTGAGGGCCCTAGGTGGAAACCTTCCCTGGTTGCTCCCGAAGGCTTTTCCAGGCAGACAAAGCTACTATTTGCTTCAAAAGAATTTTCGCAATAATAATCCTTATATTACCCTTAAACAGAAGGACTTTTTTTCGCAGTTCTTAAGCAATCAGTAAATAATGCACCACGATAAGGATTGTCTGCTCCCGGAATGTGTTCCGGGTAGTTCTCCTTCATGAATGCAGCACGATGGGTTTGGGTGGGGGATTTTCCTCATTATGCTGATTGAGCGCGATAGGTTTGCTAAAACTAATAATTATTACAATATGTTTGGACTGCGATGAAGGGTGCAAGCGTTATCAAGCTTTGGGGTTTGGGCTGCGCCTGACCAGGCTTGGCACTGTTCAAGCAGTTACGTATGCCCAGTTTTAAGAGTAAATATACTCCGTGTCTTTAGGGCTACATGAGAGTTACTCTAGGTCGGGTTCGTAGGGACTGTCGTAGCAACTAGCACGAAGTACAATCATGCACCCTTCCTTCACTCCATACTCTAACCAAACTGCAGGACTCCGAAACCAGGCATCGGGAGGGGATGGGGTGGCCCAGAACCCCTGACCTTGACGGTGGTGCTAGAAGCAAAATGTCCCCTAAAGACAGCCATGCAGAGACCCCCTCAATAGGTTGCCAGTAGGTTTAGGGCATTAGAATTTAGGGTTTAGGGTTCTAGGGTTCAAGGGTATCCCTAATTTCCCAGGGCATCCTCGTCAGCCTCGCAGGTGGGTTGAAGTAATTGAAGGATTTAGGGCTTAGGGCTCAGGGTTGACGCTCTAAGGTTTAGGGTTTAGGGTTTAGGGTTTCGGGTTTAGGGTTCAGGGTCCAGGGTTTAGGGCTTAGGGTTTACATCCTTGCCGTCCCTGGTGCTGTTCGTTGCCTCGCGCCTGGGCGGGGGCGGGGGGGCGTTTGACAAGCCTTTGCGGAGACCAGCCTGCACCAGGCTGTACTGCTACACCAGGCTATACCGCTACACCTACCAGTGGCCACTCTGTACCTGAAGAACCGAGCCTTCTCACATTCCCTCTTGCTTCACGTGGTTCTAGGTTGCAGAGGGCAGACCCTTGAAACCCGTAAGTCCTCACCCTAAACCCTAAACCCTAAACACCCCTGAAACCTGCAAGTCCTCAACCCCAGAAGTGGAAAATGGCCATGCTGACTCGGACTTCTGCCGGTTTAGGGCTTATAGGGTATTCGGGTGCGTTGTCGCATGGCGTCGGAGCTTAAGAACACTAAAACCCTATAAACCCTGAGCCCTGAATATGAAACATCCTTAGGAGACTGCAGAGCCCTAAACCCTAAACCCTAAACCCTAAACCCTAAACCCTAAACCCCAAACCCCAAACCCCAAACCCTAAACCCTAAACCCTAATGTTAACCTCACATTTATTCACATTTATAAATGGGGTGGAAATACTAATATTCGCCGGGCCGCAGGGCCCCAGCCCAAGACTACTTTCCATTACGGGAGGTTTTCGGGCTGATGTGTGTAAACAAGTCTATATAGGGGGGTCCGGTGAGAATAATAATGGGGTGACAACAGTCAAAGTTGGCCAGCTGAAAATGGCTTAAAAGTTCCATTGCAGAGAAGACTTTTCAGCTGAGCTGGCTTGAAAGAGCTCCGAGGCTCAGTCTTTAGAGAAGCAGATCTCGTTTGAGATTGCTTGTCTTTTGAGATTGCTGCAGCTCCAGAGTTGCGAGAAACTGCTGCTTCAGGCCTGTTTCTTCAGAGAAGCAGGTGTCTTTTGAGATTGCTGCAGCTCCAGAGCTGCGAGAAACTGCTGCTTCAGGCCTGTTTCTTCAAAGAAGCAGGCGTCTTTTGAGATTGCTGCAGCGCCAGAGCTGCGAGAAGCTGCTGCTTCAGGCCTGTTTCTTCAAAGAAGCAGGTGTTGCTCTAAGGCTTCAGATAAGAATCCCTTAAACTTAAGATTTCAGCCTTCGCGTCCTGGAATTCAGGAAGCCGCCAGAGGTCTGAAAGCAATGTTTCCTTACTAAAATCCTTATCCGCCAGGGCTCGAAAACAAGTCCGGAAAGGGTACCCCCTTACGGGCCTCCAACATGACAATAATAAAGGGGTGGCAATAATAATTTCGGCGAGGGGGGGGTGGGGAGGGACCGGATTGTTGACACCCCCTCTTTTTTTCCGCCCCTCCAAACCCCGGGGACCAAAACAAGATTGGGGGGGGTTTATTAAAGCGACGTTCACATTAAACCCTAAACCCTATTTCTGGGTAAAGCCCTGTGATTCTTCAGGCTCCTGCCTGGCGACTCCCACCCCCGCCCCCTTCACCCCGCACGAAGTCATGGGTTTCGTAGGGCTTTAGTTGGTTTTGTGTTTAGGGTTTTAGGGTTTAAGGGTTTAAGGGCTTGAGGGCTTAAGGGTTTAAGGGTTTAAGGGTTTAAGGGTTTAAGGGTTTAAGGAGTTTTAGGGTTTAAGGGTTTAAGGGTTTAAGGGTTTAAGGGTTTAAGGGTTTAAGGGTTTAAGGGTTTCAGGGTTTAAGGAGTTTTAGGGTTTAAGGAGTTTTAGGGTTTAAGGGTTTAAGGGTTTAAGGGTTTAAGGGTCTAAGAGTCTGAGGGTTTAAGGGTTTAAGGGTCTAGGTGCCCCCTATTTACAGGGTTCTGGGTTTAGGGTTTCGGGTTTCCGGTTTCGGGTTGCGGGCTTAGGGTTTAGGGTTTAGGGTCTAGGGTTTAGGGTTTAGGGTTTAGGGTTTAGGGTTTAGGGTGTAGGGTTACGCATCCTTTAAACGGTTCTATGGGGACCTCGGTGCCTTACGATACCCTTTGAGGGCTCATAGAGGCCAAGCAAAGCCCTGAACATCACGAAACCCTAAACCCTAAACCCTAAACCCTAAACCCTGAACATCACGGCTGCTTCGGCACCATATGCTCGATGTCCAGGATGGGCCTCGGCACGCCGTTCCTCCGAAGCAGGGCGCGTTAGGGTTTAGGGTTTAGGGTTTAGGGTTTAGGGTTTAGGGTTTAGGGTTTAGGGTTTAGGGTTTAGGGTGTAGGGTTTAGGGTTTAGGGTTTAGGGTTTAGGGTCTAAGGTTTAGGGTTTAGGGTTCAGGGTTTAGGGTTTTTCTTTAGGGTTCAGGGTTCAGGGTCTAGGGTTTAGGGTTTAGGGTTTAGGGCTAGGGTCCTCCATAAGTGGGG